AGTATATGATTACACCTTACATGCCTTAATGGAGGTATAGTTATCTTCATTATACTGAATACTTTTTTGTATTAATTTAATATAGGGTGCCCGTGTCCCACATCCCACTTACTCCCTTGTATGAAAAAAAAAAATTAAAAAAAAAAATTTTCAAGTACATTTTATTATTCTAGCTCGGCGTTTTGCAATGGGATTCCCAATTTAAAAATGACGATCCATCTGCCACTGAATATTCTCCAAATTTAAAAAAATTACAATAGGGAAAAAAAGAATAGAAAAGATTGAAATTTACATAAAATGTGTCAGGCACTTGTCTTATGTGTCTTATTATTTAATTTCAGGAAATAGAATAAAAAAAAACATTGTAAGGGAAATATTGTTTACCCTAATCCTCTCTGTCTATCCATCCTGCTTACAAATATTACATGACTTATCTTGTGAACTCCGCTAGATCTTTTAAACAAAGGAAGTGCTTTGGTTATTAAATACTACATGTGTGCATGTTATCAGGATTTTGCTTCTTTTTTTTTAATTTCACACAAGTGACAGGATCTTGACCTTTGTCATTTTTGGATATCATAGTATACAAGTAGGCTACATGGTTTGTCAGACTAATTCCTCCTACAGTTTTCAAGCCAGAATCTTTATATAATTGTCAAGCAATTGTCTCATAATTTTGATTTAAAAATAGGAGTGGCAGATAATTCTTTTTTTTTTTCTTCTCTTGAATTGAACAGAAACTTGCAAAGATAAATCATTTAGATAGCAGATTACTGTTAATATGAAAATAAGAAGATGTCCCACAGTGGTATGATTGCCAATGAGACAACTCTTCAACTAGAGACCAAATGAAGTACAAGTAGACAACTGTAAGTCACTGTACGGCCTTCAACAATGAGCAAAACCCATACCACATAGTAAGCTATAAAAGGCCCCAAAGGACAAACGAGAAAACTAACTGCATGATTTATGTACAAAACAATAAACGAAAAACAAATATGATATACAGCAACAAATGACAACCACTGAATTACAGGCTCATGACTTGGGACAGGTACATACAGAATGTGGTGGGGTTAAACATTTTTGCTGGCATCGAACCCTCCCTCTAACCCAGGACAGTGGTGTAACAGTACATCATAAGAATAAACTATAAAAATCAGCTAAAAAGGGCTTTACTCATCAGATCGATACAAAGCAGAAAAACAACTAACAAAAACACAAACCAGTAATTAACATTTGTAAGTTGAATTCCTGAACAAATTGTACTAGTTCAGGAGTATTTCTTGACATGTTGTATTGATATCTAGATGTATTATTTTTTATTTTACTTTATTGAGTTCTTATAGATGTTTACCTTTGTCATGTTTGTCTCTTTTTACTTATTCATTTCTTAAACAAGTGTAATGCTTTTTAGCTCACCGGGCCCAAAGGGCCCCATGTGAGCTTATGCCATCATTTGGCATCCGTCGTCTGTTGTCTTCGTAAACTATTTCAAGAATCTTCTCCTCTGAAACTACTGGGCCAAATACCTTCAAAATTTAACTGAATGTTCCTTAGGGTATTTAGTTTATAAATTGTATCCGAAGTTTTGATCCATCAACAAACATGGCCGCCATGGCTAAAAATAGAACATATGGGACAAAAGCAGTTTTTGGCTTATATCTCTAAAACTACAGCAGTTAGTGCAAAAGTGAGAGGGAGTAATAGTGATAAATTGGTAATGATCTATCTGTTATGAAATTTTCAGACAAGTTCGACAACCTATTGTTGGGTTACTATTGGAAAGAGTTTATTTTTATTAAATTTACTGTTTTTGGTTATTTTCTTTAATATTATAATTGATAGAGAGAAAGTATAAATGGCAATAAATGTTCCGCTAAATAAGATCTACAAATAAGTCAACATGATCAAATTAGTCAATTGACCCGTTAAGGAGTAATTGCCCTTAAAACGGTTTTTTTTTTACATTTTTTGTGAAAGTCGAATTACTTTTTCAAAAATCTTCTTCTCTAAAACTACTTGGCCAAATACTTAAAAACTTTAATTGAATGTTCCTTAGGGTATCTAGTTTATAGATTTTATTCAGGGGTTTGATCCATTCAAAAACATGACGGCAGTTTCTAAAAATAGAACATAGGGGTCAAATGAAGTTTTTGGCTTTCATCTCAAAAACTAAAGCAGTAAGAGCAAAACTGACATAGGTGAAAGTGTTAAACAGGTTAAGATCTACCTGTCAAGTAATCTTCAGACCCAAAGGACAACTTCTTGTTTGGTTACTGTCCAGAAATAGTTAATTTTTAGGACATTTTACAGTTTTTGGTTATGTATTATTAATATTATTATAGAAAGAGAGAGAAAGTGTAAATGACAAAATTGTTCAGCAAAGTAAGATCTACAAATAAGTCAAATGCCTGTTCATTTATGTTTGGGAGTTTAGTCACGTTGACGTCCATTTTCACTGAACTATTATACATTTTTTAAGGGCCAGCTGAAGCCCACCTCTGGGTGCGGGATTTTCTTGCTGTGTTGAAGACCCATGGATGGCCTTTGGCTGTTTTCTGCTCTTTGGTTGGGTTGTTGTCTCTTTGACACATTCCCCGTTTCCATTCTCTATTTTATCAAATCTTGTAAATTGATTTGGAAAAGACAAATCAACTTAACAAACAAAAACTGAGGGAATCCAATGAACACCAAAATGAGTGAGACCTGGTAAGTTGAAAGGATAATTGCCTCTTGCTATGCATGCATCACCCTCTATGCAAATTCACACAAAGTCAAAATGTCCCAATCAGTAAATTTACAAATCGGATAACTATACTGGAATCTGAAGATCTAAGACAGTGAAAACATGTCGCTAGTGAGTTGAGACACTGACACATCGCATTTGTCAACCAGTTCATGATGTTGACCATTTCAAGTTTTCTCATGTTATAAATCAGGATACAAACTGGATAATGCAGTGATTATCTCAATTTCTCTCCTTTGTAAAAGTCATTTTCTGTTGACATAGAGTTATTTCCCTTTGTGGCAATATTGTAGGACAATATCAACAAAATTCAATCATACTTCAATCAGATTCAACATTCTTATGATAAATACTGATCACTACTTCTGAATCATTTCTCTGGTGCAGAAACATTGGTAACAGTAATGTTATTTAAACCACAATCTTTTAAGGATCGTGTATCATACTTGCTTCTACACGATGTACAACATAAATTAGATTTGTTTTGTTAATATGAAAATCAACCAGATTTCCCTCGAACATATCAGCCAAGTAAAATAACTCCCAACTTCAATTTCTTCAATGGAAAGCTTTTATAATCCCATTGAAAGTTGTATTACGTCATTTAAAATTGTGCACTTTTTTACTCATTCTCAGCTTACTCGGTACTGGCATGACAATTTGGATATTGTTTTATTCAAATTTGCTATTATCAGATGCGCATTACTACAAAAAAATGTCCAAAACCTAATACAAACGTTTAAGAGCAGATGAAAAAAAAGGGTATCATTTTGTTGTCCAGTTATGGATATATAAATATGTACGCTGCCATGTCCTTTCGGACCCTAGGCCGTATTATAATAACTTGTGATGTAGCCTTTTTTGCGAGTTTATAATTAGCAATCATCAATCAATCAATGATGTGTAAGAACGCCAACCTCTTTGCCTTTGAGAAAAAAAATCCTTGCAACATCTCTTTCTGGAGGCCTGTTCAGGTTCAGCTAGCTATAAAGGAAAACTGATCAAATATACCAGGCTTATAAATTTGATACACCAGGTGCGCATTTCTTCTACACAAGACTAATCAGTGGCCCTCGAATTAAAACAGTTTGAAGGCCAAATTTAATACCAAGTTGAAAAGCACTAGAAACTGAAAATTCAGAAAAGGTATGCCAAATATGGCCAAAGCAATTTATATCTCGGGGGAGAAAAAACCTTAAAATTGTGAGTAATTCAACATTTCATAAACAGTAAATTTAAAGAAAAAGGACATATCAATGATATGTTATACCAACACAAAAGTGCAGACTATAAATGATGGTCTGGATGGGGTTTACAGGATAAAGAATAAAAGCCAAAGGACATAAAGGTTAAAGAAAATGGGCCAAAACAATAAAGAATAGAGATTAATGGGGTTCTAAAATATAAATAATAGAGAATAGGCAAAATTTACAGAGAAAAACCCCCCTACCTGACCTTCATAAACCAGGTTTAACGCACCATTTTCTTCATAAAACGCCTGAACCGAGTTTAGGAATATTACAAATGTGAAACTGTTCTAGTCGGTTTGTTGGTTGATAAAGTCGAGTGTAAGGTTTTCAGTTTTAATGGACTTCCCAATCTTTTGGATTGACCTTGGATTTCAGTAATTTTGTAACATGTCTTGCTTTCAAGTACATGTCATACTACAGTTTACATGTTATAGTCAAAGTGACATCACCGAATACACATATTAACTTACTTGTCATGACTGACAATAGTCACAATATGTGATATGAAATCGATTATTATTAACTTCCAGGGATCAATCTTCGGTTTTTGTGTATTGTTTTGTGGACAGTTGTCTTTTTTATCAGTTTCCTTTTTAGCCATTGCACTGTCTTTTTATCATTTTTCTTTTTGGCCATGGTACTGTCTTTTTATCATTTTTCTTTTTAGCCATGGTACTTTTTATGACTTATGGTTGTGTTATTGACCCATTAGTATCTTCTCTATCCTTTATATATGAACAGATCTTATGTATGTATTTCTTATTTATTATCATATTGCATATGCATAAAATATTTGCCATTCGAGATTTAGAAAACATAAGAAACCTGTATGTAGTGTAATCTAGTCTTGACATTATTATTGAGTTCTCTCCCTTATATCTATGTTTTGTTATAAGCTTCAATCAGGCCGTATATTTAAAAGGGTCATATCAAGCAGCTGTGGGTTTTTTGTTATGCAACAAAGGTGCATTAATGATATCTAGGTAAAGGAAAAATGTTCACACGTTGATAATTTTTATTACAAAACTCATTATAAAATGTGTAATACTATACATGACAAATATACAATAACAATTATACTATGAAAAAAATAACTTGTTTGAGAACCTCAATGATAATATGTTCTTTAATATAATGGTGATAATATGTAATTTACATTTTTGATGGTGTCCTATATGAGGGGAGACCTTTAAACAAGTAATTATCTTTATCTAAATCTGAGCATACAGCACAAACCTTTTAAATTTGAATCTTTAGAATAAATAAAAATATCTCAAAACTAAACTAAAAGGAAAGTCATTGCTTTATATCAGTCATATTTATTTTTTTAAATTTAAGCATAAAGCAGGCAGATGCTATTGTCTTTTGAATTGTTTCCCATTTATAGCTCACAATATAATATCGGGTTCCATACGGTGACCTATATATTTACTTCAAGCCATGTTATTTGATCTCAGTGAATAGTTTTCTAAATTAACAATCACACCACATCTATCTGGCTATTTAAAATAAATATGAAAAAAATTACACATATCATTTCTTTTCAAATATTGAATTAAGCCATTGCCAAGGCATTGAGTAAATAATCTTTTGATTAGGAAGAGGAAATTAGAACTTTATTCAACTATTATTGCAGTGCAAAAGACAATGACAATAGAGTTGCATAATCTGTTTTTAGTTGTAATTAAAAATTATATGTTAGAGACAAAGGATCTGAACAAACTGTACTGAAGATACAACAATATTCTCAAAATTGGAAACATATGCAAATTATGTGAAAAAAATCCAAATTCAGAGCCTTTTGATGATCCATTATCATGTGAAGGTACATAGACTAAAAGACTACAATACATTTACCTACATTTACAAATATACAGAACGAATTTCTACTTTAAACATTCTGAAGATCCTGTATAACAAATTATCTAATATCCCAGCTAATCATGCAATTTGATTGGTTACCTTGATGGGGTTATGAACCCTTATACCCTTTGAACATAAATGAAGATCAGATTGGTAATTGATGCTGAATAAATATGAGCTGCGTCAGATAGAAATTGACCTTATGTAAGTGCACATAAAGACTTTGATTGATTTTGGAACATTCAAATACGAAATCAAAAATTAATTTTGTTCTGTTTTGTAGGGTTATCATAACAACTCAATTTTCAAAGAGTTACACACTTTACATATATATTTTTTTCAACCCGAAATATGATATTCATTTGCATGAGGTAGATTTCTATCGGACGCAGCTCATATAATATTCAACATAGAAATAAATACCCACAAAATTATCAAATTTTTCTAGAGTGACAGATTTATAAGTTAATGAATCAGTTCACCGATTGTGTGTTAAAAGTAACAATAACCATGCTAGCTGGCTCTCTAACAATGGATATCTTATTGAACTTTCAACAAAATTAAAAACAAAAACAACTAGAGGCTCTCAAGAGCCTGTGTCGTTCACCTGACTTTACTTTGGTTTTAGAAATCATGTAAAGATAGATAAAAATCATAACAGATACCCAAATAATAATTGAGGCTAAATTTGGTTTAATATTGGTCCCGTTATTTAATCAAATATCCTGGTGGCCATCTTGAACCGTAAATCAGCAACAAAGTAGCAACACTTAGTCAGCACCTCATAAGGAACATTCATGCCATGTTTGGTTTCATTCCATTCAGTGGCACTCTTGCAGAAGACATTTGTATGTATTTCCAATATGGTCCTATGTTAAACTAGTTTAAGTCCCCCACTGGCGGCCATCTTGGATGATGGACCGACTGCAAAGTAACAACACTTGCTCAGCACCTCATAAGGAACATTCATGCCATGTTTGGTTTCATTCCATTCAGTGGTTCTCTAGAAGAAGTTGAAAAGTGATGAGAAAAGCTGGGCCAGGTGAGCTAAAAAGATTAATATAGTGTAATAGAGTTGAATATATAAAAGATAAACTGTTGGCACAGAGATATGTCTCACCTGTCGGCATAACATTCTGAAAGAGATAATCTGATGGACAGCGTCATCGCTTATTAATTAAAAGTAGCTGGACCATGAACTAGTGGACAGAGCCTTGAAATGGTCAACAAACTGAGATGTACAGACAGTGGTGTAACTTTATAGAAAATATTGTAAGTAGTTCCTATCAAACTAGCTGAAGCAGAAAACTTAGCATTGGAAATTGATAATAATTGAAAGTCACAGAACCATGACATACAGAAGCAGGGAGACGAAAAAGTCATCAAACTGATATGTACTGATAATAATGCAACTTTATAGAAAATATCATTGATCTATCAAAAGTAGTTCCTATCAAACTGACTTAAGCAGACAACTTAACATTGAAAATTGCTAATTAATTCAAAGTCATTTGACCATGACGTAGGGGGCAGGGCATCAAAATAGTCGTCAAACTGATAGTAATGCAACTATAAAGGGAGTATCATTGATCTATCAAAAGTAGTTCCTATCAAACTAACTTAAGCAGACAACTTAACATTGAAAATTGCTAATTAATTCAAAGTCATTTGACCATGACGTAGGGGGCAGGGCATCAAAATAGTCGTCAAACTGATAGTAATGCAACTATAAAGGGAGTATCATTGATCTATCAAAAGTAGTTCCTATCAAACTGACTTAAGCAGACAACTTAACATTGAAAATTGCTAATTAATTCAAAGTCATTTGACCATGACGTAGGGGGCAGGGCATCAAAATAGTCGTCAAACTGATAGTAATGCAACTATAAAGGGAGTATCATTGATCTATCACAAGAAGTTCCTATCAAACTAACTTAAACAGAAAACTTAACATTGAAAATTGCTAATTAATTCAAAGTCACTGGACTATGGACTAAGGGAGAGGCAAGACAAAAACACCGGATATGATTGAAAAAAAAATTGAATTTAAAAGTAGTTAATGTTACATTGGCCAAGATGTATTGTTCTTATCTAAAAGAACCACAAAAAATTACTACACTGCAAAGAAATTGTCCCTACCAAGTGTGATATAAGATGTGTGATTAAAGTTCAAAATCTTTAGAGTTAATATACATCTTAAAATAATGAGTCTTGATTCAACTTGATATTTTTCACCTCGGTTATTGTCTATCTTTTACTTTTTCATCAGATTACATAGTTGTTCTAAATATATTTAATTATAAATGGTGCCTATTTCAAGATATTGGACATTTTTTTGACATCTTTTGCTGACTGTGATGTTCTGTTTTTTTCTTAGATTTCTTGCTAATTGCTCCTTTATCTTTATCTCTCTCTTCTTCAAAGCATCTAAGGGTATTGAGATCTACATTATCAAGAATTTCCTGTAAACAATATGCTCCTCTCCCAATGTTTACTAGTGCCTGTACAAGGACCCTTATTGTAGGTTTTACTGTTCGGTCTTCTCTCCATTTGATCAAGACTTCCCTATTCTGAGCTTCTAAGTCTCTTGGAATATTGGTCTGAATATTTTCTAGGTCTGCAATTGAGAGTCCAACTTCAGTACCAAGTTGAAAGTATACCTGACCAATTCTTGATGATAATGCATCTAAAACCTCATCTGTTGGAATACAATCTAGATATTCCAAAGGAATGTCTGGAAAATAAGAATTAATAAAAAAAGTAGTTTTGAAATATTGTCTGTCGGATACATTTTGAAAACATGAGGCTACGAAAAACCTGCATTGTTCACCTTAAAATCTAAACGATTACGACAAAGTTTCAACTCTTTCTGTTAATTGTTTCAAATATATACTTTTATATTTCAAAATAGTAGCAACAAAGATGAAACTGGGGATATCTCTTATAGCGAGTTGATATTTTGATTCCAATCATATTTGACCATTAAAGAGATCAGCGACTCCTGTCATAAAAAAATTAGAAGTAAAAACACTCCGAAAAGGAGTAGTCTGACAATTTCCTCAATATTTAAAGACTTAACTGTAGATCTTGTTTTGCTGATCATTTTTGCTTATTTAAGTTTCTATCTATTTATTACATTTTTGAAGAAATAAGGCAAAAAAGCAAACAATTGGTAAAAATCTCCAAAGGGCAATAACTTTAATAACGAGTCGACTGACAATTTCAACAATGTAGAGTTATTAGTAGAACTTGTCTTGCTGGTCATTTTTGTTATTTAAAATTTCTCTCTATCTATTATAGCTTTCACGATACATGTAATAGGCAACTAGCGGCTCTAAAGAGCCTGTGTCGCTCACCTTGGTCTATGTGCATTATTCAACAAAGGACACTCTCCAACATTGTAGATGAGAACATAATTCATGACAAAAATCTCTGTTTTGTTGATCTTATATTGCTGATCATTTAGTCTGTTTAGTTTCTCTCTATCTTCTTTTGTGTTTGCTCAAAACATAATAGAGGATAAAAAAAATCCTCATTTAAGGGCAATCACTCCTATCAAGAGTGACAGTCTACTAAATATACTGGTCATTTTGACTTGTTAGTAGATCTTGCTTTGCTAATCATTTTTGTGTTTTAAAGTGTCTATTTATCTAATATAGTTTGTATCATAATCCAAAACGCATAAAAAAAATGGTAAAAATCATCATTAAAGGACAATTATCCAATAAGGAATCGTTGGATAATTTCCTCCATATTTTTGTACTTGTAGATCTTGTCTTTCTGATTATTTACGTTTGTTTCTATATAATTATAATTTTTAAGAAATAAGGCAAAATGCAAAAAAATGGTAAAAATCGTTATCAAAGGGCAATAACTCTTATAAGGAGTCGACTGATGATTTCGACCCTGTAGACTTATTTGTAGAACTTGTCTTGCTGATCATTTCTGCTTTTAAAAGTTTCCCTTTTTCTATTATAGTTTTCAGGATAAGTCATCGGACACATTTTTGAAACTAGATACCCTAATGATGATTGTGGCTAAGTTTGGTTAAATTTGGCCCAGTAGTTTCAGAGAAGATTTTAGTAAAAGTAAACAGACGACAAAGACGACGGAGGCCTAGTAATGAAATAAGCTTACCTGGCCCTATGGGCTATGGGCCAGGTGACCTAAAAATGAAAAGAAAATGGTAAAATTTATCATTAAGGGCAATAACTCCTATAAGATTCGCCTGACAGTTTTGAGTACATGTACAATTGCCTGAATTGGTAACTCAACATTCTGAACCTTTCTATTCCTTTCAGATTTTCTATTATTATAACAGTTTTCAAATAAATGGAAAATGTGTCCCCATGGACACAGATGATGCCCCCACGTGAATACAACATTATAAAGGGACATAACTCAAAAACAATAAAAGTGACGCTACCCAAATTTGTACTAGATCTGAGTTTTGTGATAATAAGTATTGTGTATAGGTTTCATAATGTTTAGTTGGGGCTAACTTAAGTTACAGAATGGAATCTAAAAATTTTGCCTTTTTTTTTCCATTTATAAAAGGGCATAACTTGAGAATGGTTAAAGTGACCCCACCAAAATTCAAAATTGATCTGTGTTTTGTCGTAATAAGCATTGTGTACAAGTTTCATAACATTTGGTAGAGGCAAACTTAAGTTTGAGAACGGAAAATGAAAATTTTGTAATTTTTTCATTTATAAAAGGGCATGACTCTAGAACGGTTAGTGACGCTACCAAAATTTAAACTTGATCTGTGGTAATGAGCATTGTGTATAAGTTTCATAACATTTGGTTGAGGAAAACTTTAGAGAACGGAAACTAAAAATTTTGGAATTTTTCCATTAATAAAGGGGCATAACTCTAGAATGATTAAAGTGACACCACCAAAATTCAAACTTGATCTGTATTTTGTGGTAATAAGCATTGTGTATAAGTTTCATAACATTTGGTTTAGACAAACTCAAGTTAGAGAACAGAAACCAATTTTGGGACGTACAGATATACGTACAGACGGACAAGGGTAAAACTTAATGCCCCTATCGCTACAGCGGGGGCATAAAAATAGACAAAACTTGCCTTTAACCCCTATGTTTTATTTATAGCTATGTCAGCCATATTGGTTACCCAGTACATACTTGTTTACCATTCAACAGATGCTAATTACCCAGTACATACCTAATCATCATGCAACAAATCCTAATTACCCAGTACATACCTGTTTACCATTCAACAGATCCTAATTACCCAGTACATACCTGTTTACCATTAAACAGATCCTAATTACCCTGTACATACCTGTTTACCATTCAACAGATGCTAATTACCCAGTACATACCTATTCATCATGCAACAAATCCTAATTACCCTGTACATACCTGTTTACCACTCAACAGATCCTAATTACCCTGTACATACCTGTTTACCACTCAACAAATGCTAAATTTCCAGTGATACAATTCTCAATTTGTAAAAAGTTAACAATTATAGGTCAAAGTACGGCCTTCACTACAGAGCCTTGGCTCACGTCAAACAGTGTACATACCTGTTAACATTTCAACAGATCCTAATAACCCAGTACATACACATTTACCATTCAACAGATCCTAATTACGCAGTACAATCCTGTTTACCATACAGCAGATCCTAATTAACAATGCTAATTACCCAGTTCATACCTGTTTTCCATTCAACAAATCCTAATAACCCAGTACATACCTGTTTAGGTTCAACAGATACTAATTACCCATTACAAACCTGTTTACCATTCAACAGACCCCAAATACCCAGTACTTACCTGTTTACCATTCAACAGATCCTAATTACCAAGTACTTACCTGTTTACCATTCAACAGATCCTAATTACCCAATACATACCTGGTAACCATTCAGCACATCCCAATTACCTAGTACATACCTGTTTCTGCTATTTTGACTCTTCTTACCTGCAAAAATAATTAATACTGAGTGAGATCAAAAGTGCATCAGGACAGTTAAAGTAGGGGTCATGTTATCCTGCTCTACAAAACATGTACTCAGGTTTTGGTCACATTAAGTTTATAAAGAAGGCATTTTCCTAAAACACCTATTTAATTAATAATAAACTTTTTACACAGAGATATGGCCTGCCTGTCAACATAAAATTCACAAATACCTATTTAACTTATAACAAGCATTCTGAGAGTATTGCATGGCAATATATAGTCCCCTACCGGTTAAAAATTCATTGTACTGAAACAAAATGCTAACTTGATCTATAACTTGTCATGATGTAAACTTTATATAAAATAACAAATCAATATCTTCAAGTATGACGGAAAAAATTGTGGAAAACTGATTATTTGCACGAATTTTCAAAGTCCAAGGACCATAACTCTGCAAAATAATCATCTGAACCGAACAAAATTGAACCTTGATTTGTAACTTATAATGATTAAAACTATATACCAAATATCAAATCAATATCTTCAAGCATAAGAGAAAACTAGAGGCTCTCAAGAGCCTGTGTCGCTCACCTGACTCTACTTTGGTTTTAGAAATCATTTAAAGATACTGTGGATTCATTTATTTTCGTGGGTATCAATTTTCGTGGATAGAGAAAAAAAGACGTTTCGTGGTATACGTAAATTCGTGGATCGCTGATTACCAAAAAAAAAAAAATCAGATACGTAATTCTTGGATTTCTTTTTGACGATATACTAGAAGTGTTAGGAAAGTCAATACGATTTTGACGCTGATGTTAAATACCAATACCACTACAGGCTATAGTGGGGACCATCATAAACTATCATCACTATACACTCTGCTATCTAAATTGGACAGTATATAGTGCTGGGTGAATTGGTCCAAATGGGTCCATCCGTCCGTTCTTTTGTCTATCTGTTCATTCATTGCTTCAAACCCAGATAGTAATAGACAATACGAATCACATATGGCTCATGAAAAGTGGTTTTGTTGAACATTGAAACGATGCGCAGCAAGACAACCTTCTTCCAAGAATTGGCAACAACTTGGAATTGGATTTCCCTCCAAACTGTGTTAATTTATGTGATAAGATTTATGCGAACCTTCCACCAATTGTGTCGCCATATAGGAGACACAAAATAAGACAAAACCGAAAAAGGAAAAAAGAAAATGCAAAAAACTAAACAGAAGAATTTCAGAATGTCAAGTTTATGTTGAATGTTTAAAAACATTTAGGGTTGTCGGAACTTTGTGGAGACATCCAAGACACGAATCAAGTTAAATTGTTGAATTTTGTGCTGGACTTGTGGAGAGGCAAACTGAGTTATATCACTTTTAAACATATTCTACTCATATCATTTAATGTATATATTTCGACTTGTGGCCGTAAAAATCTGTCATTCCCATTCTTGACCCTTTAGCTTACATATGTTTTTTTAAAGTTTTGTTTTGCACTCCTAAATCAAACAAATACAAATGAATGTATGAAGATCTACGAGAGGCCAATGCACATCTTAAAATTTGGAGTCGACGTTAACCGTTCGCTTCATATTGTATCAAACACACCACAAAGCTAAACTATACTACGCCGGGATACTTTTCAATGCAATTGCATTTTGAGAAAGTCCACTTAAATCTTCTATCGGTATTGGTATTTAACATCAGCGCAGTATTTAAATCCCTTTCCTAACACGTCTTATAAACAGTCATATAAGTAAAAGGTGTGAAAATAAATGTTCCTGTCATCAACAGTATTACCTACGGGCAATATCCCCGTACTTAATCCTATTGATTTTTAATCACCAGTAAACCAAACTATGACACGGTAATTAAAAACTTGCAGTTATTTTCCATGAACAGTTTTAATCAATTTTAAAAAGTAAATTATCACTGATATTCGATATATTTATTATTAATTTAATCAAAATACTTGTATCTTCTTTCAATAAAAACATGTGTTATGTTACAATGTTTATCGCTAGTCAACACTATACTAGAACTGTAAACATAAGCGGAAAAATAAACATCCAACTCCATACACATTTCTCGGGATTATTCTTCGTTGAATTCTTAAATTCGTGGTTCGCTGTGACCCACGAAAATTGGTATACCACGAATAAAAATGAATCCACAGTAAATAAAAATCATAACAGATACCCAAATAATGATTGAGGACAAATTTGGTTTAATATTGGTCCCGTTATTTAATAAAATATCCTGGTGGCCATCTTAAACAGTAAATCGGCAACAAAGTAGCAACACTTGGTCAGCACCTCATAAGGAACATTCATGCCATGTTTGGTTTCATTCCATTAAGTGGTTCTCTAAAAGAAGACATTTGTATGTATTTCCAATTGGGTCCTATGTTAAACTTAGAGCCCCGCTGGGGGCCATTTTTTATGATGGATTGGCTGCAAAGTAACAACACTTGGTCAACACCTCATAAGGAACATTCATGCCATGATTGGTTCCATTCCATTCAGTGGTTCTCTAAAAGAAGACATTTGTATGTATTTCCCATAGGGTCCTATGTTAAACTAAGTCCCCCGCTGGCGGTAATCTTGGATAATGGATCGGCTACAAAGTAACAACATTTGGTCAGCACCTCATAAGGAACATTCATGCCATGTTTGGTTCCATTCCATTCAGTGGTACTCTAAAAGAAGACATTTGTATGTATTTCCCATAGGGTCCTATGTTAAACTAAGTCACCCATTTGTGGCATTCTTGGGTGATGGATTGGCTGCAAAGTATCAACACTTGGTCAACACCTCATAAGGAACATTCATGCCATGTTTGGTTTCATTCCATTCAGTGGTTCTCTAAAAGAAGACATTTGTATGTATTTCCCATAGGGTCCTATGTTAAACTAGGTCCCCCGCTGGCGGCCATCTTGGATGATGGACCAACTGCAAAGTAACAACACTTGGTCAGCACTTCATAAGGAACATTCATGCCATGTTTTATTCTTTCCATTCAGTGGTTCTCTGAAAGAAGACATTTGTATGTATTTCCCATAGGGTCCTCCTATGTTAAACTAAGGCCCTCTGCTGGCGGCCATCTTGGATGATGGATCGGCTACAAAGTAACAACACTTGGTTAGCACCTCATAAGCAACACCCATGCCATGTTTGGTTTCATTCCATTCAGTGGTTCTATAGAAGAAGTTCAAAATGTAAAAAGTTAATGACGATAACGACGGACGACGATGGATGACGAACGCCAAGTGATGAGAAAAGCTCACTTGGCCCTTTGGGCCAGGTGAGCTAAAAAGTGCGGAAAACTGATTACTTGCAAAAATTTTTGAAGTCCAAGGACCATAACTCTGCACAAAATCATCAGACCAAAACAAAATTCAAACTTTATCTGTAACTGGTCATGATAAAACTATATACCAAATATCAAATCAATATCTTCAAGCATGAAGAAAAAAAGTTTGAAAAACTGATCTGCCTGACTGATGGATGGACGGAGTGCAAACCTAAAGTCCCCTTCAACTTTGTCGGTAGGGGACTAAAAATTACAGTGGAATACATATATTCCCCTTTTCCCACATCCATTGAGGGAAATGAAAATAACCTTAACCTTCAATAGAACACAGGTTAAGATAAGTTTTTGTCCTAGGGTACTCTCTCAGAAAGTAACAAAATTAACATTGAAGTTTATTTCACTACTTATTAATTACAAAGATAGTTTTGTATAGTCAAGTTCTCAATGAAAAAAAAAACAAAAAAAAACTAACCACCAAAAAACAATACAGACTGAGTCGTTCACCTGGATCCATGTGTATTTTCAACCATGCCCACTCTGCAAGACTAGACTAAATAATTTATCACTTAGATTTCTTTTTTTTTTTAATTTTAGATGATCATTTCTTCTGTTTTCAGTTTAACCCTATAGCTATCTACTAGAGTTGTTGCCCAAAATACAAAATAAATCTTATTCAATGGCAATAACTTTTATACAAAGTGGACTTATTGTCTTATTTGTAGATGATTATTCCTGCTGGATATGTTTGTCTTATTTGTAGATCTATTCCTGATGGATATGTTTGCTATCTGAAGTTACCTATAATTTGTTTTCAAGATGAGAAGCAAACATGTCAACAACTGATAAAAATAGTTATTATTGGGTCATAACTAGTCTACTATCAGGAGACAAATGAAAATTTCGATCATCTTGACGTTTATGTAGATCTTGTCTTGCCCATTCGAAATTTCTCTCTATTTTTTATGGTTTTCAAGATAAAATGCAACAAAATACTGTCAGAGTGACAGCAACGTGGATATTTAACATTGATTTTTGTCCTGGCATTTTTCAATATCCCAAGGACCATAACTCCTGAACAGTAAAAGTGAAAATCACCAATAGTGCACTTGACCTCCATTTTGTAACATCAGTAACAACATATTAAAATTTGAAAAGCTTTGGTTGAACGGTTCATGAGTGAAAGCACGGACATAACTGGATACACCATTTTTCATCTTTCAAGAACCATAACTCCTGAACTGTGAAAGTGAAAATCGTCAATATCGAAGTTGACCTCCATTTTGTCATCAGTAACAATATATTAAAATTTGAAAGGTTTGGTAGAACGGTTCATGAATTACAGCACGGACACAACTGGAAACACATTTTTCAATCTTTCAAGAACCTTAACTCCTGAACGGTGAAAGTGAAAATCGTCAATATTGATCTTGACCTCCATTGTGTCATCAGTAACAACATTAAAATTTGAAAAGCTTTGGATGAACCGTAAATGCAATGATACTGTTTGGCAGCCCAGTACGGATGACCGCTCAACCGCCTGCCGTACATCCCCAAATTAATAACCGATTTTTCCTTCGCAAATCCGGTTAAAAATAAAAAGAATTAGTAATTCAAATTCAATACCTCCTACACAGAGACTTCTGACAGTTTTGGTGTAAATAGAAAGTAGAAATTAAATATTCTTAATTTTTTGTTCAGTCAGATTTTCTTT